CATTTGTGTATACATATACACATGAAATCTTTCATGAGTAGTCTAAGTTTCAAATGTTTAACTTAGTTAATCAGGTACTGATTGGTTTCAGGGGAGTACTGAAGACAGGATTTCACCCTTATGCTGTGGAGCCCTATCACAGGTGAGTATGTTTATGTAAAAAGCAATCAAAACACCTCCAAGACTGATTTTCTTATTCAATGATCATGCATTAGCTTACCTACATAATTCAACATAAAGAATAGCCAGAGAAGAAGAGAACACCACCATTTGGACATCCTCCTAAATTTAAATTTTTTTCTACTCTATATAATCCTCTGAGACATATATATACAAAATTGGTGAAAACCATGAAGTTCGGGCAGTTTCATTTTTGAGGGCTTAACTAGCCACAATAAATAGAAAGTAACAGTGAACCATGCATGGTCTTCTTCTTATGTATAGATAAAACACTACCAAAGTAAATAATTCCATTTTTTAAATCATACATTAAAATTAGCTGTGCCAAATGTGCTCTAAATTCCTGATTCTCTCTCTGCCTCTAGATCCTCATTTTCATACTAGGTAAATTATTTTAAGTTTATTATACTTAAGAAATATTATATGCTCTTTTTTTATAAAACAGAAATCAAATTTGTGGAATGTTGGAGTCTCAATATTTGTACTATGACACCGCACCATGCATTTGTGATTTTATTTAAATAATTAAATATTACTTTGGATAATAATATTTGATGTTTTTTCAGTTATTGTAAAGACTTTTAAATAAAGTCCGCCAAAATATTTACTATGGTTAAGTGTCCTTTGATTGGTGCAAATTCTTTTTGGCACAAGTATCATATGGTTGGCCTCATCAGTAATGATAGTTATTGTGTTCATAAGGATAAGAATCAAGCAATTGAAAGGCTTCAATCATTCAAATGAAGCCAAAAAGAAAATTACCATAGTATATAAGAAATGAATTAACTGGTATAAGTAATTAGCAAATCTGAAAGTGAAAGCATAGTGGAGATAAATGTGTTTAAGAAACAAAGAGGAATAAAGAAGATGGATGAGAGGAAGAAGGAAGGAAGGAAGAAGGAAGGAAGGAAGGAAGGAAGGAAGGAAGGACGGGAGGGAGGGAGGGAGGGAGGGAGGAAGGGAGGGAGGAAGGAAGGAAGGAAAAGAAAGAAAGTATTCTAGAGACCATGCAACCCAAATAGGATGATGGCTTTCTAAAACATAATGAAAGAAAACAAACAAACAAAAAACACTGAAATTCTTCAGTTATCCTAATAATGTACAGAACACTAATTCTGCTAAAGCATTAGAATTAGTTTTGCTATGTAACTGTGAAAAAATACAGATTATAGTTCTGTATATGTGTGGGTTGGGAAGTTTATATTGGAATTAATTCTATCAAATAAAGAGGAGCTGGTTGATGATGTAGAGTTGACAGAAACATATTCTTAACAATCTTTTTGAAACATGAAAAATGGGATATGGGAAATAAAAAAGGGGGAAGCAAATATTTTCCTTGTCTAAAGGGAAAAAGGTATATGTTAATAACCACAGACTTTATATCAAACCCAAGTTTAAAAAATAATAAATATTATGAAGGATCACTAGCAAGAAACAGAAGCAATAGAGCAACCCATGCTGAGCTTACCTGATTTCCAAGATCAAGTAATTTTGCATCATTGGTTTTGTTGAAGGGGGAATACATAAATGTACATTATACCTCAAATTCAGTAAATAATTCAACAAAATTTATTAAAAGCCTTGTGAATAAGATGGTAATCTGAGATTTTACTATTGGGTGGGTTCTTAGCTTGCCATACTAATGTCATTTAACTGTGGAATGTCAACACATGGGGAAAAATTCTCATGGAATGCCACACTGAGGATTTAACAGTGGCTTGAAATAAGTGACAAAAATTTGCATGGGATATGAACCTAAAAGCAACAAACAAACAAGACAAACAAACAGAGACTCATGGACATGGACAATAGACTAGTGGCTACCAGAGGGGAGGGGGAAAGAGGAGAGGGGGAGGTAAATGAGGTAAAAGGGGTCAAATATGTGGTGACAGAAAGAAATCTAATTATTGGTGGTGAACACAGAATGCAATATATATATGCCTTACTGTTGAATTGTACACCTGAAACTTACTGGATTTTGTTAACTAATGTCACCACAATAAAACAAAGAAACAAACAAACAAATAAAAATTTTCAAGAGAAAAATTGTTGAAAGCAGTAAATCAAAAATAGGTATTAGGGAGAAAGATTAAGTCGCACTGTGTCAAACACACATAAAGCCATAATATATATTTGATAGAAAAACAAATCAATTAATTGAACAGCAGCTGATGTTTACTTAAAGATCTGCATTTAAGTAAAAAACAAAAAATCATAACTAGCATACATAGGAGTACAGTGGAAAAAACTGGTATTTTAGTTATTCATACAGAATAAAGGTTTACTATCTCTTATTTAAACTTTCGAAATATAAAATCTTTAAAAAGTTTTGTGCTAACTTTGTCACCAAAATTGATTTAGAAGCAAAACCTGACCTGAACTAACTTGAGACTATAGTCTATGTTTATCTATTTTCAGTAATTGATACTTGTGTAGCAAAATGTCTGAATAATATGATCAGGAGGTACTGCTTACATAAATATGATATATGGACTACATCAGATTCCTAAAAATCTGAAAAATTCTGAATTTTGAAACAATGTGATCTCAAGAGTTAGATTAAAAGGCTTTAGGACTACATTAAACAAAAGTGTGACAAAACTACTAAAAATCAAAGGAAATTTTGGACAAATAATAGAAGCATCAGTCTTCAATCATGGAAAAAAAATAATTTAACCTGTTGAGACAACACATGGAATATTCTAGCACTATAAAAAAGTGTTAAATTTACACAGTATCTAATAAAGTTCTTGGTACATGTTTGGCACTAGATAAATACTTGTTGAATGAATGAAAGATTGAGTGTAATGCATCATTTAAAAATCAAATATATCGACTTATCCAAACTCAAAGCTTTCTTCTGTTTTTAAGCCCCACTCTCCAGATATTTAGTAATACATGAATCACTATATTCTTGGCTGCCTCACAGACTTTGCTCATGATGCTTCATCAGTGGAAATACTCGCTCTACCTAACTCCATCTGATGAAATCTTATTCATTTTCAAAGATATAAGGCCTACATTTTTGAAGAAGCATTCCCAAAGTCCTCTAGGAAGAGTTAACCTCTCTTCCTCCATGCCTTCAAGAGTACTCGATTCCTAACTATAATATGGCCCAGATCACATTCTGGAATAAATATTTTTGTATGTGCCTTGTTTCTCACATTCCAGGTTTCTTAATGGCAAAGGCTATAGTTTGTACCGGAAATCCCTCAGTATTTCCTGATGCCGTTACTTGTGCATATATATAATCCAAAAATTACTGAATTAAATCAAAGTTAGTAGAAATGATGAAAGACTAAAAACTAAATTTTAATTCTGAGAGTTAAAAGAATATACAAAGTATTGGCAAGAGTGCTAGAACCACTATCTGTTTGTGCTGGCCAATACATCTTCAGTGTTAACATGGTGCTCACCACTGAAAAAAGGTGAAATTTATTGAACAAATGAACTAATGTCTAACCAAGGGGAGAGAAAATTAAGACAGAATGAAATTAAGATGTCATGAAAACCATTTTAAAACATAAAGTGAAAGTCTAGCAGTTGAAGGGTAAGTAGCGTTGTTATATATTTTTCCCAAAGCGGTACTCCAAACCATGCATGCGTTTAAACAGAGGCACAAACTTCATTAAATATAAGAACATCTATTAACCATAGTGGTCTGGTAATGAAAGAGGCTGCTTCATAAACTACCTCGTTCTCTCTACCTATGCTCCTAGCAAAGGGTAAGTGATCTGTTGAGCATATTCTAGGAATATTTTCTCAAATTGGATTTCCTAAATGGTTGAATTCATATGTTTTTTAAATTACTCCCATCTCATAGAAGTAAAGTATTAAGACCTAGACATTTTTGTATTTTAAACACCAAGCTAAAATCATATATCACTATATATCACTTAGTTCACACTGTAAAATAAATATGAATCTCATCAATTATCTCATCCTTAAGAAAAAAAAGCCTATCAGACTTGAATGAACCTAAAGTCTTTTGAAGCCAATAAAGTTCACAGACTTTTTAAAACATGATGGTGATCACGTTGACGATGAAAAGATCCTGTTATTAATACTAACAGTAGTGTGTCTCTCTGAACCAAACCTGCCCATTGTTACATATTTAAAATTTTTAAACAGTTTTTCTTACATTGATACAATAGAAACTGGTGCCAATATATTAAAGAAATTATAAAACTGGAGTAATTCTAGACAAATTTCCAAAAAACAAAAAAGACTTCCTTGGTAGGGAAAATGCATGTACACATACATATGTGTGTGTATTTATTTATTTTTATATGTATATATGTGTGTGACCATTACAGATTTCTATGTTTTAAAACTTTAAAGATAATTCCATATATTTGAGAAATTACATCAACTGTTGGAGGCAGGAAAATAATATATTTATACCTAAAAAAATGGAGGCTCTAAGGCACATTGTCCAGGCCTCATTTCTGGTAAATGCTACAGAAAGACTTCAGTCCTAATCCCCAGCCTGTCCTCTCATTGGGTAAAACCTCAGAACGCGATGTCATCCAAATCAAAGGCTGAAGCAATGAGTGTACCAATGAGCTTATTAAAGCATGTGTACCATGGACCATAATTTTTATGCATTACTTGAAAAGGGACTTGTGTTAAACCATTGCTTGAAGATGTATTCTAACAAGAGGTAATTTATTAAGCACCCTATTAATAGGAATTTGCACAAGATGATAATTCTTTCCTCAAGTGTAATGGGGGCTTTACATTTTTTTTGGATTCTTTTACTACTTTCATTATACGGACCCCATGATCAGTTATTTCCCAACACATTCCCACATACAAACCTCGTCTCCTTCCTGTGGTCGCATCAATGAAACCCGATCATACTGCCTCCTCAACAAAGCCCAGAGTGCATCAAGACGACCCTAAAGGGAACATGATTTGTAAATTCATAGGAAACAGATTTGGCCTCTATTTGCTGAACCAATGAGTTAAGGTGAAGAAGGTAAAGCCTCATTTTCTACTCCCATCTATTTTATAAATTAAGTAAGAGAGAGAGAGAGAGAGAAGAAAGAGGAGAAGGAGGAGGAGAAGGAGGAGGAGGAGGAGGAGAAGGAAGAAGAAGAAGAAGAAGAAGAAGAAGAAGAAGAAGAAGAAGAAGAAGGAGGAGGAGGAGGAGGAAGAAGAAGAAGAAAAATGGGAAAAAAGAAACTTGAAAAGTATGTCTCCCCCAACTACCAGGACTAATAGCTGATACAAGGAGGAGGAGGAGGAGGAGGAGGAGGAGGAGGAGGAAGAGGAGGAAGAAAGAGGAAAGGAGGTTCTTATTGCTGAGAAAGTATTCAGTTGCTATAATGCAAAATGAATGTCTGCTATTTGATCTACCTCAGTCCTCCTTCAGATAGCTGGAGAGTAAAGAGGACTAAAAAAGTTACAGTTTCCTTAGGAAGTTTCAGTTAAATTACACAAAATCTGCCCAATTACCTTGATTGGTGTGTACCACTTTGTCTGAGGAGGCTGGTATGTGGGTTTGGGTCGAGGTGGCTTGGGCCTGATGGGTTCCTCTACTTCTTCAGGAATTGTCACCACAGCATTTTTGGCTTTCTCTAGCCTTGCACCTTCCTCAGTAGATCCTTTATCACCCCAACGAACCTTTAAAACACAGAGAAACACTCGTATCAGACATACAGCGTCCTAGAAAAGCAAGCTCTTATTTAGCCAATGGTCCTTCAGTTCACCACCTCAGAGTAAAGAGAAGATGAGTAGGTATACTAATTCTAAATTTCTCCTCTTCTGAGATTTAATAAGTTTCTCATCACTTCTTATGTATTTAATATTAAGATTCTAGGGGAAAAAAAAAACTCTTTGGGTCAATTAAAACTTGAAGCAACCATTTCTCCATTGTTTAAAATAAGGAATTAATTTTGGGTTTACATATGAAATGCATAGACAGTGTGTAATTCTATTCTCTAATTAGGTAGGTTCCCCTTCTAGCTAAATACATATGAATATATACTGTTGGCACTGTGGGAAACAGATGTTAATAATGATAATTAGCATTTATTAAATGATTACTATGTGTCAATCTGCATTTAATCCATACAAAAATGCAGTGAGATAGATATCGTATTTTTTCCTTCCAGATGAGGAAACAGACACAAAGAAGTTAAGCAACATGCCCAAAGCCACATAGCTAGTAAGTAGTAGGGCAAAAATTTGACAACAGGCAGTCTAAAATGGGTTAATACATTTCAAATAGGTTTGAACTTTACAAAGGTATTTTACAAAATGGAATTAATTGTACCTTCTAAACTTTTCATTAAATTTGATTAAGGCATAACATCTGATTTAAACATTTAGTGCTCAGAAGTAAATTAAATATATATGATTTTTCCTCACTTTTGTAAAGTTTGACTTTGTAAAGTAACTTTTAGTCTCTAGTTTCTGGGCTCATCTGAGTATAGTTATTTGACATATCAATTTTTCACTGAGGAAGACAAATTGGAAAAAGCTCTGCTTTGAAAAGAAAAATTCAGAAACACCAGGGAATTCCACAAACTTTAGAGAATTTCGTTCTCTGAAAATTCTAGACATTGAAAAATCATAGGGCCCAATGACTGTTTTCTTTATTTTTCAATGAATGAGAATTAAGGGCTAGATCTGAGCCAAATTTTGCCATGTGTGGGCATAGAAACAAGATGTGGCCCCTATAGGAAGGCTTTGTCCAACTAGGAGCAGTAGAAAAGTCCAAAAACCAATGACATTATCAAAGATGACAGAGATAACATAAGTGAAGTTCTGAAAAGAAATAGGAAACTCTGTTCAGGGCACACTATGATTCATCAGAATTAAGTGATTTCTAAAAGAAAAAAGTGATTAAATACTTTTTAAAGCATTTTAATAATCTGAGTTAGTAGAGAGGAATACAGATAATTATTGTTCATAGAAAGAACTATTCACAGCTTTTTGATAAGATTTACTTAGATGTTTTTACTTTTTTTTACTACAATTTTAGAATAGGCTTTCAATTACAAGTGGACTCTATTGAGTCATTAAAACGTATCTGTATCTTTCAGTGTGATCAGTGGTACTAGAATGTTCTTTATGAGGTTGTTAAAATTGTTTTAAACACCATTAAAGCTTTAGAGCTAGATAGTTGGCTCTCTTTCCAGAGAAATGACCTTCTCTTTCAAATCACAGTGTCTCCATCTAAATAAACTAAAACTTTTAAAATCTTTAGATATTAGCTAAATTGAGCTACAAAACTCTAAAACCAATACATATCCTTGCAGTTGTAAAGTCTTGATTTTAAGGGGAAACAACAACAACAAAGAGATAAATATAGGACTACATAGCTCAGAAGTAATTCAGAATAGAAATATAAGAAGGTACATTTTAAATCTATTTGGAAATTAAAGATTTTAACACATGTAGCTACCTAGCCTAGCCTTCAAATTCATATCGCAGAGTTAATGGTAATCATATTTTTCCTCCAAGTTTCACTGATGCCATTATCAGAAAAAGAACACGAAGCTAGCTAAACTAGAGTTCTGACCGAATGTGGCATTTCTAGGGACTTAACTATCAAAAGACTATGCTTATGAAATATAACTGCTGAATTCTTAAGGAAGTCATTAAATAAATCCATTAGTGTTATTTCATGAAGTAGCTGTTTCATCATTGCCACCATCACAACAAACGACTATCTTAATCTCAAATTCTAACACTAGGAAAGACTTTATAGAGTTTCCTAAAACTCTCAAAGCAATTAAATATAAACATTCTATGTATAAATCTTAATATTTTAGTTTGACTACAATAAGATAGTCAAAAAGGATAAAAGAATAACAAAAATAGATTGTTAAGGGAGCCTTAGCAAAGTTCATATATCTGACTTTTTTTTACCATGAAAACAAAAAGTGCAAGCTTGATATCTAAATTCTTCCAACTCTACTTGGTTTTCATGATTACAATGAAATTCCATAATTTCCAGAGTATATTTGGATGACTAGGAGGTTATATCATAAAGGAGCAATTTCAGAATTGAGAAAAGAAACAAAAACAGTTTCACATTGAATTGGCAGAAACACACATTTGAAGTCATTAGGTATTGTGGATCAGTTGTGCTAACAGCTGTTATTAACATCAGCTCAGCTCCAGTTTTCTGCAAATTTCCATTACCATGGTGTTTAAGTATTTAATTTAAAAGAGGAGTATGAAAAAAATTTCTAGGTAAAATCCCTAGACTGGCTTAAAATAACATTAGTTATGAAGATATGTTCTGTAATTCAGATGTGCTCATAATTTCTATAATTTCTACTTTCCCCAGTTGAAGGTATTTTTTTAAGAGATATACTCTCTAGGTTTGAATAAGCATAATTTTCAACCAGATTATGCATTCTATTTTCCTTTAAATAAGTTCATGTTTGAGACAGTTTAAAGATGTTTAATTCTCACTTCAATTTTTGTGTATTTTTATGTATTGTGTTTCCTCTTTGTAATACCCACATTTACTTTCTCACTTTTTTTTCATTCTCATTCTCATTTCCACCTCATTGATGGCATACTCCATAAAATTAAGCCAGAATTATTGACGGCTAAAATATATCTTGACTTATTAAAAGTGGGTGAGTCTTTTTCATAAATTTTCCTCAATCGAACAGGATGGGCAATATAATATCACATATTAAGGGTCAATGCTTAAAACTTGAAATGTGAGTTACTCAAGAATGTGCATGAGCCCTTGGCTTTCTTGAGCATTGACTAATAATATACCCTTTAACTCAGGAGCCATTCAGCTCATGCCTATGCTTTGCTTTTCTTTAGAAAGAGATCTCAATCTTTGGAACACTGGACTATTAAACTAACTAAAATCTGGCATAATTCCTAATGTTTTCAGTAGGAATATTATTTATTCATTTAAAATATACTCATACATCACATATTAATATATTCATATCTTGTCATGTGGTATTTTACACATGTGGATTTCAAAATAGAATTAAATTTATTATTCTGAATGTAAGTAGTAGATGCTTAATGTCGAATAAGTTAGGAAAAAATAGAAGAATATATAGTATAAATTGAAAATCACTCCATCCAGAGAAAATTATTCTAACATTTTGTAGCGTATTATGTCAAACCTTTTTCCCCTTTGCATACATCTTTTTGGAATGAGATTAAATAAACTAAAAATAAGTTGTGACCGATCATACTTAGATATCTATATGTTACATTTTTATTTACAAGCATATTTTATAGAGATAGGAATACTAGAACAACACAACAAAGGCAAGCTAAAGGAAAATGACCTTCCTTCTGTATCAAACGACAAGAGCTAGCCCAGTCATGTTCTCTGTACTACTTGATATTCCCAATTACCCACATATGAACACTTACGTAATCTCTTCTCCAAAAGATAAACTTAATAGCTTCTAGCACTTGCCTTTTCCATGGCTTACTGGCAATGAGGTACTTGTCTCAGAGGCTATTTCAGCAATGCTTTGGCAAGGTCTTAGGGAAAATGTGCATTATTTTAAGATCCAAAGTGCTCAAGAAAATGAGAATCACTATCAGATGACTTGAATAACCATTTTGGTAATGACAACCACATTACGTAGGCCTGGCTTCTCTTGAAAAATATTGAAATTTATTCTAAAAAGGGGAAACTCCTCAGGTATCTGAATTTAATAAAAAGAGAAAATTGCAACAGGTCATTAATTAGCTAATTGATTTTTCCTGGCAGTAATGGGACAAAGCAGATCCGACAGTAAGAGACAAGTGCAATGACTGCACAACACAAAAATAATTCCTTATTAAGAAGTAAAATTAAAGGATGACTAATATGGAGAAAATGTCAAGATCTGTGTTTAATAATAAAGTCAATATATCAATGAAAAAATTTCTTTAATTACTCATTGGGGTGAGATGATAGCCTATCTAAACTGTTGTTAAGGGCTCAGTACTGGCAATGAATGCTTATTATTAATTAATTAAGCACTTTGAAAAATATTTCTGTGGTAGTAAGAAGACCTCATTTGATGTTTAAGATATAATATTAAAGTTCAATTATTCCACAATTTAAGCCAGTCAAAAAATTTGGTACGTTTCATAAATATTTAATACTTATTAAGGTCATTCATAAGTGATAACTAAAAGTTATGAAAAAAAGCCTTAAATGCACTTCCTCTACATTTGAGATGAGTCATATCCATAATATTAAATATTTTAACATTTTCTCCTCAAATAATACATAACTATTGGATCTTTTCAAAGATAAGCATTGTTGCAATTTTAAGTGGTTGGCTTCTTCAAAGTTGATGTTCTCTGCAGTAATTTTTTCCAAAATAGTGAGAAAAACCCTAACTTTGTTTTGCCCTTTAAAATTCAAACATCTTATCAATGCAATTCTTTGACTACTGAAGTCAGTTCATTTTGGACAGCTTTGAAATGGCTAAGATGTTCCCGCAGGGAAAAAAAATCCCCCCAAAAAACAGTGTTAAGTAAAAATGGATGTATTGAGATACTGAATTATAAAAAGTACAGTTTCCATGGCTTAATACTTCTAGAAATATATATTCCAAATTAGCAGTTTCCATTTTTTGTGTGAGATACCAACCTCCATTCTCTTAATTCCTCCAACCCCTCTGCCACCATAATAGGAAGCATCCACAGTTGGCCATTTCTTGTTAGGCAAGGGTTCTTCTTCTTCCTATTTAGATACAATTTTTAAAAACTGGTTAAATTAAATTTCTAAAATATTGCTTAGTCAGAACCAGCTCACATTTAACCATTTTTCTGAATAATGCCATTGATATGTAAGAAATGTAGTAAAAATTATATATTTTCGTGTAGATGTATTTGTGATTACATATATAAATTTCAAGTAGAGTTCTACAGAATGAGGACTCCTTCCCTTCCACAACTTTAGGAATCTGCCTTATTTCACTAGAATACCAAAAGTTGCTATAAGCATCATTTGTTTTTCCTATTCATTGCTTCTTATTTAAAAAGATAAAACATTAAAATTAGGGCAGCATTTCAATACTCATTTAAAGCATCAACATATATATAAGTTTGAACTCTGCGAAGTTTGTACTAAAGAGATTGGCAGTTGAGAAGCTTTGAAGATGCACATCAGCACATCCCATATTTCATGTTGCCAACACAATTTTGGCTAACAAACAGAATAATATAAAAGTACAGTAGTCCCCCCTTATCTGCCGGGTACACATTCCCTAACCCCCAGTGGATGCCTGAAACAGTGGATGGTATCAAACCCTATATATCTATATACAATGTTTTTTCCTTATAAATACATATCTATGATACAATTTATCGTATAAATTAGGAGATTTCATGGATAGAAGATTCATTCTTACTATAGATTCTTACTATAGATCTTAGCAACCTCAGCATATGATTTTTTTTTCTCTTTCCTTAATAAGTTGAGAATTTTCATCTTTTCACGTAAAGCACTTTACGGCTTCTCTTTGGCATATCCAAACTGCCAATATCACTACTCTTGAGCTTTGGGGCCATTATTAAGTAAACTAAGGGTTACTAGAACACAAGTACTATAATACTCTGACAGTCAATCTGGTAACCAAGACAGCTACAGAGTGACAACAGGCTGCTACACAGCATGGATACAGTGGACAAAGGGATGATTCAGGTCCTGGGCAGGACAGAGCAGGATGGTGTAAGATTTCATTACCCTAAACAGAATGGCATAATTTAAAACTTATAAATTATTTATTTCTGGAATATATCATTTAATATTTTCAGACCTCAATTGACTGAAAGTGTGGAAAGAGAAATCACAGATAAGGACTACTGTAATAATCATCTTGAAGAAACTAATAACATCCTTAAAACTACCAGTTGGGATTTTCCAACATTTTGTTCAGCAGAACTATTGATATATTGCTATAAGAAGTAATTTCAATCTCTATGTACTGCTGATCTTGATGGCCAGTCTATGTTTATCAATGTGTGAAGGACTCATTCCTCTAGCACATGAAAGAAACTATAGAGGACAAACAACAACTGGTTTTCATAATTCAAAAGTCAACACATAGGTATCTTAGTTATCTAACAACAATGTAATTGGTCAAACTTGGGGATATATATCTAAATACAGGGGAAAAAAACACAGATATCACTTATTAGGTATTTATTTACCTCTACCGGCGCAGAGGGTGGTGGTGGAGGCAGGGGATCCTTGATAACCTGTCCAAAAAAATAAATAAACAAATAAATAAAATGATAAAAAGTGGTATAGAGAAGAAACAGTAAGGATTGTAAAAATAATTAGATAAGTAAAATACTGTGTTAGTACCCAAGACATTCCCAGTGATCCTTGCCTCCCAATATGTATAACCCTCCCTTTGAATCTGGGCTTTCTAGCATGAGAGAGAAGTGGTACCACGTGACTTCTGAGGCTAGGTCAAAAGAAGTTTTACCACTTCCCCTGACACCCTCGGAACACTCATTCTGGGGGAAGCCTGCTGTCATGTCAGAAGTCTACGCTGATACCATTAAGCTGTGAGGAAGCCCAAGATAATCTTATGGAAAGACTGAGTGATGAGAGAGGCTCCTGGCCAGTCTCAGCCATGTCAGCCATCTAAACTGGGTTGCCAGACATGTGAGAGAAGAATCTCATTTGGACATAGAGGCCTCTTAAGCTTTCAGATGACTCCAGCCCAGCTGCTACCTGACTGTAATCACGTGAGAAAACACCAGAGTAAGAATCTTCTAGCTGAGCCAGTCTCCACAGAACCATAAAGACACCAAACTATTTAGAGGCACAAGGTTGTGGAGTCATTTGCTAGGCAGAACTAGATAACGAGCACCTAAAATTCACAAAACTCCCCATACATATTCATTCATTTTATCTTTATGATTTAGAAATATTAGCAGCTTCATTTTTCAGGTGAATAACAAGAACAAACATTATCAAATACCTTGTGCAAAGTTTCATTAAGTGGTTCTTCTAATGTCAAAATGCAAACATTTTTCACTAATTATAATATGTCCCCTCAAACAGAGTAGGAATTGACTAGCAAAATCACCCTGCTATGTATGATTCATTGACTTTTTCAAAATTGACAATATAAAACTTAGCTTGCTTTGGATGAGATGATAAGAAAATTAATTTACTCTCATTCCCCACCATTTAACCTAAAAACAAACCAACATTTAGCCAAGATTCCTTCCCTGTGAATCATTACTTAATATATTCTTTCATAAAGTTTTATACGGTTAATTCTTTATGTGAGAAAATAGAGATTGAGATATAATTTCAATGACCTTTACCGGTACTAGAGTTGGACTTTGGCACCATCATCTTAGAAAATTATTGACCAAGTACCAATGGCTTCTGATCATACAGGTATACAACCAAGTCTCTAAACTAAGAAAAAAACACTGTTTAAAAATATAACTGCTTCACTTTTTTAATGTCGAATGTTTTCAATTATGTTATTAAATTTCCAAAAGTTTAAAATAGTAACTTTGAAAATGAATATCATCAAGGAATTAGTATCACTATTTAAGTATATTACTATTGTCCTGAGTACAATTTTTAAAGACTGCTTGTCTTTTAAAGATATATATACTGAAAAACTTCCATTTTAAATGATATAACTGTGACATTTTCACCAAGATAATTTGGGGTGGGGAAGTAGATGGAATTACAGATGAATTAAGATTAGCCATAAATTGAGAAGCATTGAAACTGAGTAAAGGAGATATAGAAGTCATTATTTTAGTCTTTCCTATGTGTATGTTTGAAATTTTCCTTAATTAAGGGTTTTTAAATTTTTAATGTTATTGATACTTTTTAGAGAACTGACTCAATTTTTTATATATAATATTTTCAACATTCAAATTTCAGTTTAGATCAAATCTCAGGGAAAAATACACAGTTATTACAACCACACAGATCTAACTGGACAATAATTTAGTTTGACTGAAAACTCAAACTAACTCTTTCTTGTAGCATTCAAGTTTTGAAAAGCTTGCTATAAGAAATGTTATTTCTATTTAGCCTTTTTATTTAATTCAATTTTATTTTATTAATAAACAAAATTCAAGTTCTTTTTAGTAATTTTGAAAGATAAAAATCTGTATATTTTTACTTTAGCACAGAAATAAATGCCAGTGGAGAATTAAGATTTAAAATAAGACTGTAGTAAAATAAAACAAATTTAAGGTTATCAAGCTATAGGTGCATTTCCTTTATATAAAGGAATCACCTCCTATCATTGTCAACCCAATTGTCAAAAGTCGATCAATGAAAACCAGCTCTATCAACATTTCACACTCAACAAAGCCATCTCTTCTTCCTATCTCCCCTGTGTCTTTCAAGTAAATTACTCTTTCTAGTTTCAAATTATTCATATAATCTATAATTTCTTCCCCTCTTCTAAATGACTTCACCAAATCATTTACTATATCTAATAGTCCTTGAAATAGTTCCCCTTCTCCATGAATTTTCCCAATTGTCCCCAAACAGATCAGATTTCTTTCATATGCGTAGATGCCTATTTGTTCTTCTTTAGCATTTATCAGAGTTGATAACCTTTTCTAGTTCCAAAATACTGTAACTTTCATGAGGATGGGTTTTATGCCATTGTGTCTCACTGTATTCCCAGTACTTAGTAAAGTTTGTATTTTGTAAGGGAAAAGAAAGGAAGAAAAAATATGGAAGTTAGGAGAAGAAGAAAGGAGGAAGGTGGGAAAGGTAGAAAAGAGGGAGGAAGAGATGAAGAGAGAGAGAGAGAAAAAAAAAGAAGGGGAGGAGAGAAAAGAAAGGGAGAGGAAGAACCAGGGAAGGACAGATTCTCTGCATTACATTCCCCCTATCATTACCTAAAACCATGAACTCAAGATTCTCTAGACTATAAAAATCTCTAGTGCAACATTTTCAACCTCTTTAATGCATTCAACCAAAACTTCAGTGTTCTGAAAAATTCCCACCAAGTTGAAGTCTATGTTTGAACTCTTGCAATAAATAGAAATTCATTACCTCACAAAGCAATTCATTCCATTGGCAAGAAACTCACATCATTTGAAAGTTTTTCCCTCAAAAGATGCCAAATCCTCCCTCTCTGTAGTTTCCACTGTTTAGTCCTGATCCTAGGATGTGGAAACACACACACATACACACACACAGACACACACACGTACATACACATACACATACACACATCTGATTTTCCTTCCAGAAGACAGCAGTTCCTATTTTTGAATACTGGAATAATAACCACATATCTATTGAGCCTATTCATCTGAAAGGTAAACATCACAACCATTTACCATGCAATGGTTCTGAATTATTTGGTCATCTTGGTTCTTTTTTTTTAGCATACATTCATTTGATCAATATCTCAAAGTATGCTTTCCAGAATTAATAGTGTGAATAGTCCTCAGACGAAACAGATGCACCCCCACCAGTCCTCACTTTTTTATGCGTTTTAATTAACAGCATATTGATAACATTGATTGATAGTCTATAATTACCATAGCTTTTTTTTTTTTGGCATCATTGTCTACATGCTCTATTTACTTAAATTAAGTATCTAGCTTGTTCATTTGTCTCTAATCCATCCTTCATTATAACCTATGCAGACAAGGTCAATATTTTTCAACAGAAGCTTCATCGATCGTTTCTCTGGTCAAATGGGTCAATGGTTCCAATGATCACAATTGAAATCAATAAATTACTGACTTTTATTGAAACAACCTTACAAATCCTGCTTCCTGTCTTAGTTTTGCAAGTTACATAAAGTGTTACGAGCTCTCTCACTAGGAAAACACCCAGGAACATCCTTCAGTCCACTAAGTTTGAGTATAATGTATCTGAACCCATTTTCATACCCTTTGAGGATTTCAAATTTACTCTGCTTATTACCTGTACATCTTGCACTGGTATATAAATTTCTGAGGGCATAACAGTATTCTCAGCTTTGTTCAGTATACCTCATGAGAATGACTGAACGTACTCCTCCATGCCTCTGCCTTTTTCTATGTCATACTCATTATCCTGTATAACATTTAGCACTGATATGGGCAAATAGAATCTAAATTTAAAATCCTTATATGATCACTGCTGAGAAACTCACACAGTATCACGAGACGTATCTTCATATTCTTTCATTTTACTAGAGACTCTTTATCGGGTATCATAAGCCACAGACTGGAAAACCGAAGCTCCATTTTAGTGCATTTACATGAACAGCTCTTCTATTCCCAATGTTCAAATGCCTCAGCATGGTGTAGTTCTGCCATAATAACCTATTTACGAATATCCCTCTATATGTACCTCTACTTTAGGCAGACTGAAGATCCCTTTGCTTCCCGCAAATAAAATATTAAGTCTCACCTAGCTTTCATAGACTAGTCTACCAACTTAATGACTGCCTTATCTAGAACCTTGAAAACTTCTAAAACTATATGTTGCTGCAAAGTTGAACCATTCATACTTCATTATATGCAAAGTTGAACCATTCATACTTCATTATATGGGTTTATATGCTTGTTTTGAAAAATTTCAATTACCCTTCAAGAATGTATATTTCTTAAGGGCAATAATAATTTCTTTTTTTTATAAATATCACCAGTGCCTAATAAAATGCTCTGCAGACAGCAGATAGTAAAAATATGATTGAAAGTGAGTTGAAGGAAATAGCTGAGAACATTTACGAAGACTCATAACCGATCTCTAAATTTATAAGAAAAAAATGAGGAAAAATGTATAAATATAAAACAGAGACGATTTCCATGAAACTAAAATATTGCTAATTCCAAAGAAAATTAAGCATCAAATTTCTCTTTCAACCAATAAAGTCAGAGAACGGAGAAACTCAATGGCAGACTACCCTCAGCTTCTTCGTCTGGGAAATAAATGCGATGACTTGTAGGTCCTTTCCAATATGAAAATTCTAATAGAATGTTTAAAAAAATATATATCATAATTATTTCCATCAGGACTTTCGCTTCGATACTTTTCCATAATTAAGTAGGCCGTATGTCTAAATGCATTTGTATTCATCTTATTCCAGAAAAGAAAATTTAGTTTGTTTTTCCAATAACATAATTAATCTTACATATGACTAAATGTGTGACCTAATATAAATTTAAATTAATATTGAAATCCTGGCAGGTATATTTTCTACATTGTTAACAATAGAAACCAAGGCCTTAAAACTCTGTCTAAGTCAAATTGT